GTCTACCTGTTTGCTATCATAATGTTTATTCATCATGGAGTTTATTATCTGATTGTAGTTATTAAGAATTAACAGAAGAGTGACTATTGAACTTGTTTCAACTAATTACAAGATTAATTTTAGATTACAATTCACAGTTCAAAAAATGCTATAATCTTTCAGAATTAAAAAAAATTATCTCTTACGCATTCAATTTGATATTTTTAATTTAAATCGAATAACACAGGATAGCTAAAAAAACCTTACGCAGATTTCAGAAGATTCAATTCTATTTGCTTTTCTTCAGTAACGTACTACGAAACTAGTGGTGCTGAGACACGGCAAATTCATTATCGCGTTATTTGTAACTTTAGAAATTTACGAAGAAGAATTCAGAGTGTAACAAAAATGAAACCAGCGCCATTTTATATGAATACAATTTGAGAAACAAATAAAGGCAAAATTGGAAGTCGGTTTTGAAAAAAAATATGAATTGCCTTTACTTCAAATAAATATTACGCAAAATCTACTGCTCGAATTTCAAAATGTTGTGCTTAATTTAAAAATATTATTTTCAAGAAACCCGATATCAAAAATCTGAATATTTTTATTGATGTTGTAGGGAACATTGAAACATTTAAAAATTTTGTGATTTTCAAAAATGTAGGCATATTTCAACAAAATGATGACCTGACCTACGTCATTTTCTAAGGGTACATTTTTATATCCGTAGAAAGTAATCCAAAAATTTGAGGCAATTTTCGAGAACATTTTGATTACACGGCGTGTAATTTACTCTCGGTCGATCAAATGAACAGGACAACTGACAGACAGATGGACAAAAGAAGGCGGACAGACAAACGTTTTTCAGTAAACAGTTTTAACGTCTCAAGAACTAATAAAAGGAAGACTCGTACTGCGCAATGTCTTAGACGTAATTTGCCACATTTAGAAACACGACTTTTTCGAAAAAAGGGTCACACAATACGAGTTTAGCTCACGAAAATGCCACTATTCGCTGCTACTTAACAAACTTTATTATGTAAATGTGTAGTAAGCGACGAAGTAAACATTGTTAAGCCGACTTCATATTAATCCCTAAGTGTATGTTTATAAGTGGTCGATGAAAAACCAGCTTAGTTTTTTTCTGTTTATCATAACTCACAAAGTAATAAACAAGGCACACTAATTGAATTAGAACGTGCACAATCTTTCGTATGATAATTGATAAAAGAAATCCCCGCACATCTGAAGAAAACTAAATTAAGGTGTTCTAAAAATAAACAATGTCATTTGGACTGCCTAACACGCATTCCCAAATTGATTTTTCGGCTCCATAGGCAGACGATGTCACTCAACGAATATTTCTCTGCCTTAAATCCGTAAATTCGTGGAATTCGCTCGAGATATAGCATATTTTGCGAGTTAATACGGATATAATGACCCTTATTAAAAGATTCCGGCAAATATGAAAAAGTTTGGGCGCTTGCCTTGCGCTCGGCGCCTCTCCTTTCGGCGAAGCCAGCGGCCGCGCGTCTTTCTCTCCCTCTCGCCTCTCCCTCGCCTGCACAGTGCGCGCCTAGCGCTTGCTCGTCGGCAGCTCCAGCCGCCCCGCTCCCTGCGCCCGCGCTTCGATCGCTGCGGCCGCGCGCCGGCCGGCCGCGTGCGCAGCTGTTTCGTGGCGCGCCGCTTCCGCTCACTCGCCGGCGTCTTCCCGCAACACATCCGCGCACGCCTCACTCCCCCCCCCCTGCCGCCCTCGCTCCACCCGCGCCGCATCGCCCTCGCCACGCGCCGCTGCCGCTGGCATCAAACAGGCTTGGCTTTCCCACGCGCACCCTTACATGAACTAGATCATATCCCTGACTGTTGGCTACCTCGCCGTCTAATCTGTTAACCAGGTATAATTCCTCGGCTGTTGCCTTAGTCACTATTAGAGCCATTCTCCAAATCATTACCTAAAGCATCGTATTTATCATTCCCTACGGTTCTACGAACTATCAATTGTGCCCTCCATGAAAGGTAGACCGAGCTTCCTATTTACTTTTTGCATTTGGGCCATCAGCACCGCCTTCCCTAATGCTTCTTCAACATAACCTTCATTTCAGCATTCACTCACAATTCGCAATTGAATCATATTCATAAAAAATGCTATCCAACCCCACCACCTCAATGTTCTCACCCGTCATCATTACAAGATCCATCATGACTACTACATATTGACTACCACTACACATTCTCTACCCCTATCGTTATCCATAACCGCTTCCATTTTCACCGTTTTCGAATCTCAACCGCGAAGCCAACAGCCTTCTCCACTGCGCACCGTCGCCGTTTCCCTCTTCCTACTGCCGGCGCGCGCGCCCTCCAGCCCATGCGGCCTCCGCCCGCCCACGATCCTCGGCGGCGCCGCGCCAGTGGCGGCCGCGTGCACTATGGAAATTTTTCACGTTTTACATGCCGGAGGCGGCCGCGCTCTTCGGCTGAGATTCCGGAGCGATGAATATCATCACACGCCCGCTTAATCCCCAAAGCCGTGGGCGGCGGTGGCGGCGGCGGCGGCGTGGGCGGAAGAGGTGGCGGCGGAGGAGAGCGCGCGCAGCGCTTTACAGCCGCGCGCCCGCGTGCGTGGCGATTGTTTTTATGACCACGTCATGAATTTCGTTAAAATATTGATGCGAGGCTTTATAAAGGGTACGTAATTTTTTTTCTAGCGAGAGGGGTGCGGGGGGGGGCTTTATGCGTTTTTAAATGATTTTATGGGGCACGTGATTGTTTTATTTTGAAATTCGCCTGGGGAATTGGGCGGGCTACTGGGAACCACGAAATACGCGGGGTGGTCGGCCTAATTACGAGGCGGGCGAGGGCGGCGAGGGTGGCGCGGGCGGCGAGGGCGGTGAGGGCGGCGAGGGCGGCGAGGGCGTGTGTGCCCAAGGCGGTCTCAACTCGGCAGCTTCTAACCAGCAGCACAAGCGCTTGCACCGACACACACAGCACATCAGGGTGGACGTGGGTGGTTTGTACATCTGAATGTGTTATGTACGTGCAGGTTCACTTGGCTCCATATGAATTTGTACTTTGGTGTACTGTTTGCTGGACTTTGTTCAGAGTTTGATTTTTGATGCTCATTTCTATTTGTAGACTAATGCAAATTATTAAATTCATCACATATGATACTTCAAATAATATTATTTTATATTTCGAGTAACTTTGATATATTGTTAATGAATACAGTTTTTATAATTACCACGCATAATTATATTTAGCTCTCTTTGTATTGTAATAGTTGTGCGATTTCTAATGCAGGTCAAACATTAAAAATTGATGACGTTTGAATAACATTTGCATGCGTATGTTTCAGAAAGACTTTCAAATATTTGCAACTAAAAAAGCACCAGATTATACGTTACAAACGAACTGGATTGCGATATAAAATCTACAAAATATTCGTATCTTTTTCAGTTTGAACGGTTTGTTAGTATTCTTCTTACCTCAATTTTTGAGAGTGTACTGAAATGCATGTTTGATCATCTCAGTTTTATAAAATTTATGCTTTTAAATCTCTGAATAATTTCATTTATGTGAGAAAATGCAAGAGAATGTAGATATCGAATGTTCATCTTCAAGGTTCATTAAAAAAATAATATACGTTAAGCAATTGTTGTCATATACATGGACTTAATAAAAAAATAAAGGTAGTCTGGTGAATTTGCAGCAATGCACTCTGTTATAAGAGACAAAGACTAAATCTTTGATTCCCCTGACTCATAAATTCAATTTATAAATTCAAGAAATAACTACCGCAAGCGTTTCTAGTCAATAACATATTTCGGTTGGTGCTATACTAAATACATTATCAAATATTTATGAGCTTTAATAATTTTGCGTTGTCCATTTTCGCCTGTTACGGAACGAGATTTCATGTTTAGTGCTCGGTTGTATTTTCCTAGTAATAAATTTGATTTTGTGGCTCAGTACTGAGGAAATGAGATGGAGCATTGAAGGCAAAGCTTGTTACAGAGTTCTGAAAACATCAGATCATTTCTGGAAACAGACAAGTAAGAGGAAATTACATGACCGATAAATCAAGAGCATGGCCCGTATTTTGTAAATACTTTATAGTATGGAAATTAGAATTGTTAAATTAGAAGAATATTACAATAATATCGGTGATCCGCCTTTGGAGTTTTTGGAATTTTATTTCAATAATGAGAACGCTATTTTTGTAATGAGGAGACAAACTTTCGCACCTTTGTTTGCTTGTATTGTTTACTTTTAATTCATTATTAGTTTCCAATAACGTACAAGAATTCTCGATACATATATCAAATTAATTCATACCCTAAAAGTATATTCTTGATTTCTATGTCAATGAGTTGGATGAATGCAAGGTTTTTTCATCTCTTTAGCCTGGTCTCAGTATTAAGTTCTCGTCTGTGTAGATAGGGTCTTCTTGCGCTAAATGTGTTAACTGTTTTGCCATTCATTGTATGGTGTTGCTAAAAACTGATGAACCAACATAACGTGATATGTGTTTCTTTGGGATGCAGGTTGATGTTTGTGGTTGATATCAAACCGGCCAAAAACCATTAAATGTAAACGGTACGCGATTTTTTTGGTACAACAAGCCGTTGATATAACTACTGCATTTTTCTTATTGATCTCTGAACCAAAACTGAATTTTCGCAAATGGTCATGTTTAGAATATAACTAAAAAAAATGTGATAGTACATCAGTATAATCAAATTTGTTAGAAAAGCAGAACAGTTTTCTGGCTCGAAACGAAAACAATACATAAAATACTACTTCCCCATTTTCATTTTTTAGCATAATTTTTAGTTGATGAAAATGCGGAGAGCGTGAAGGGTTCGGTTTCTGCACGGCAGCGGACACCATCCCGACAGACGAGAACTTTGGCTTCTGCAGGGCGCACGCACTCTAGCGCAGAACTCACTCGCCACTACAGCACTCACAGCGCGTGCTCACTCACCTCCGACCTGGGCCACGTGGTTGCCCGCGGCCCCGTGTGGGGAGCCCGTGTGAATTTTTATTTCTGAAAGTGTACAAGAAGAAAACCACACGTCAGTCATGCGCCTCCAAGGCGCGGCTGCGCGGTGCGCATGCGCTGGCTGGCGGGCCGGCAGGGTGCGCGTGCGCTTTGTTCTTCTCTCGACGAGGGGCAACAGAGAACGCGCTCTGATTGGGTACTTGGCGTTATTAAAATGTCAAAGTGACGGTGTGTCTCTAGAAAACATTTCGATAAATATTACAATATACTAATTTTATGTAAACCATTATAACAATTTGTGACTTTTAAGAACTCTTGGAACTTTTTCTTGTTTTATTTATCAGAGAGGCATTATCATAGTTTAAATCCCGCATTTTAAATTTCATCTAGTACTCGTACACACTTTATAATGGTTCATTGAAAGCACTTCTTAACTCAATTTTATAATATATCTACTTTGGTTTTATTCTTTGGAACTAACAAAAATATCAAATGCAAACGACCAATCAGTTGAGTTCTCTGTTATGCTTAATACATGTAAAGATCGCCAAATTGGATGAGAAAAATTTAAACCTAGTGAATTCAGGCAAGTGAATGTGCGCGTGAGTGGTTGGTGTAGGATTTGTGACTACTGTGAACGACGAGATTGAAAGGTGGTGGCGTTAAAGGAAAGAGGAATATTCAAGTGTGTATGTGAAATAGGACAATTGAACAAGCTCAATATTCTCCCCCAAACGCGCGAACTCAATTCTTTTCCTCTTGTCCCCGAAATTAACGCGACTTTGTGTGAATAATGAATTCATTTTTGCTTCAATCATTGCATAAATTATATTTTCAGGGGCGTGATTATGTTTTCACAAAAACAGCAGTATTCATACATTCTGCTTCGCGTTTGATTAACATTTATATTTAATTATTAGGATAACAGAAGCAATAAAACATTAAATGAATGTCGCGGGTGCATAATCAATAAACTAACGGTTAGTTAGCGTGAACGTTATTGATGTGGTGGACGTCTGTTTAGGACGCGCATGGGCTGAGGGGTATGAGAGAGAAGGTTTAGAGGGAAGGGGTAGTTTGATGTGAAAGCTTTGTGTGTTCGGCGTGACAATATTCAGAAAACCGAAACTAAGAGAACAAGACTCGGTAGTATGGAAATAAGATTAGGATTGTGGGGACAATTGAGAAAATAGTTACTATATATGCTATTATTTGGACATTCTTGGAGGAGAAGAAGAAGAGAGCAAAATCGAGCTGTTGGGAATGTGCTAAACTAAATTGAATACGAAAAGACATTGAATTTAATTAATTTCTTGGTATCTATTAATTTATCCATTCATCGATTTATCCATTCATTTTTTATTCTGTAAAAGTCAGAAAAATAATTAGTAAATGAAAAACTGATAACAATTTGAAGTCAGGATGGTGTAAACAAATATTCGTAGATATTTTATTTTCAAGACCTACTCCTAAAAAATTTTTTTTCGTGCCAAGTATACAAGTGAAAGTAATTATTTCTTTTTCATTTATAATATTCAAAAAAATGTATAACTATATTATTCTTATAAAACACATGATTTACATTTTATTAATTGCATATTATTATTACATTTTTGATTTATGAAATCCCTTTTCTAAATTAAAGTCTCAACACATTTTTTTCTGTTACACTGAACTATTCCTCAGTACAATATTACATAGTATATTATTTAAATTGCATTAATAATGCGTAAGCCCATTATATCTTTCATCAAGCGAGCAAATATCTAATAAGTTTGTACTGAGAGTATAAGTAAATAAAAGGTTCAAGTCAACCCTATTTGGATTCTACGAAGTAAATTGTTATAGTTAAATACGTGGAGGGAAAAGGCTTAATGGAAAGCAGGGTTAATGAAAAGATTCCAGGACATAGCGCCTGCACTAAACTGAAGCTGGGAAAGCGAGCGGGGCCCCAAAGCGGGAGGTGATGCCGAACGTGGTAGAGGAAGTGTGGAGCTGAGCATGTGCAGGGATCGGCGATCCAAGCAGTGAGAGCGAGGGCAAATAGTGAAACGTAACGGAATCGTCGAATGGGGTCAGCAAGTTGAATGAACGAGCTGGTTGGGCAAACAGGTCGGGTGAGCAGATTGGGCGAACGCGTTGGACGAGCGGATTGGGCGAGAAGGTTAGGCGAGCAGGTTAGGCGAGCAGGTTGGGCGAGCAGGTTGGGCGAGCAGGTTGGGCGAGCAGGTTGGGCGAGCAGGTTGGACGTGCACGTTGGGCGAGAAGGTTGGGAGAGCAGGTTGGGCGAGCAGGTTGGGCGAGAAGGTTGGGAGAGCAGGTTGGGAGAGCAGGTTGGGCGAGTAGCTTGGACGAACAGCTTGGACGATCGGGCTTGGTGTAGAGGTTGGACGAGTGATTTGGGTGGGCGGGGCATTGAGTGGGAGACGAGATCGCGAGGCGGAGGCAGTGAGGATGGCTGCTGAGGCATTGGACGTGGATGGAGGATAGAAGGTGGGCGGCCTAGGTATTCTCCTCGCCTATAATATCTCGCGTCTGCAGAGTGCGCCAGACAAGCAAGCGAACGAAAGGCTGCAGGTAGTCGACTGTCGGGGGCGCCCTCTCGAGTTGCATGGAAGTCTTTCGCTCCACTTCTCTCTATAACAAACTTGTTGATACATCCCAAGCAAGTCATTTTGCACAATTTCTACAATTATAATATGATATTCGGTAAATAAATATTTTAATTCCAGTTTTCCGATGCGAAAATGGCTGGTATTATTAAAACCATGTGGAGCGTGAATTTAAATTCACAAACAATAATCTATTTATATGTCCGCTAAAACGCGTGTCGGTTTAGTTTATGTTAAGTCACAGTAAAGTAATTTTTCTCTTCAATTAACTTCATAGTCTGATTTGTCACATAACATTTTTATAATTAACTTTGCGATTCCTTCGTAATATTTTTAATCTCATTTAATGATGAACGGGAAAATACATATGCTACTTTTGAATTGGTAATTCTTCCACAATAAAGCACTTGCTGTTATTTGAATTGAAATTGCTCGTCTACTTCATTTAATGTAATTGAAAATAAATAACCGATGTTAAGAAGAATTAGAGATTGTTTTATTATTTTGGGATGCGATGCAATTTACTTTTTCTATTCCTATTGTATGATTATCTTATCAGATGAGTTCAGGTCTTTGCATATTGATATTCATTATAATGCAGCTTCATTTAAGTACAGGCGTTTGACCAATCACAGACAAGTATACAGTTGAGAAGAAATTAATTACTGGTTACGTTCTTTTAACCGTTTCTTTGCTTTGTGTATATTAGTGGTAAACCGCACATGTTCATTACTGTTTCAAAAGATCCAAAGCAAATCGAAATATTGAAGCCTTCAATGCGGGATGTATTCAACTGATCAAAGATAAGAACAGATACCGAATTTGTATGATATTTTTTACTTAATTTCATCCTAGTCACACTGGAGATATTTTGTTCTCGATTTGCCTATCCTTTTAGGGGACTCTTCAGATCAGGCTGTTGGTTTGTGGCTGTAGTATAATCCTAGTCACTGCACATTTGAATTCGGTCTGTGTTTTTGCATAATCAACGCCATATGGAACACTTAGGAGGATGGCTGCTAGGTGGCGTTGTATGAATATTCCATGTCAGATGGCATGTAACCGTTGAAGTAAGAGTGTAACTTATGATAGATATCATTAGCCCATCAATAAGCAGTTCTTGTCGTAGTATAACGTCTTACTCGTATATTAATATCCACGATTGTTTCATAAACTGCCATCGTGAATTGTACCATTTATTACAAAATTCTCAATTCTAAACTGTTCTGGTTACCTATGGTTAACAAATCAAGTACAATCAACCAAAGCTGTATGAAATATCAGCAATACAACGTAGTATAACGTAAAAATTAGCGTTACAAAACTAAGCCCAAAACATTTACTTGATAATTTATTACGTTTATACCGCAAATAATGGTAACAGATTTCATCTGCAAAATATACTCACTAAAATGTGATTAAAAATTTTCTTGTTAATCCTTCACTCACCTCTTAATTATAGCAAAAACCAAAACTAATAAATTGAAATTTTGTTTCATTTTATCAATCTGATCCTGGCAATTATTCTACAACTGTTCTACATAATGCGCAAACAGACCGGCTCGGAAAGAGAGGGGGGTCTGAAATTTCGCTCCGGGGCCCAAAAAATCAGCTGGATACACGCAGCTCAATGAAGCCCCATGCATTCCATATTTTGCTATTATAATTTGAACATTTATTTAATCATTTAATTTTTATTGTGTCTTATATTTTTGAAATTTGGAAAATAATATATTTTCAAAATTAAAATTCACGCCCTGGTCACACTATGTATTTAGACACGTTATAAGACACCGCGAATTCAGACAAGCAACTAGGAGCTGTTGCGAACAGTCGAGCGCCGAAAAAAGTATTTTGTACATATATCAATATGAGAGTCGTTCCGAAGGTAATGGCTTCCATTTTTACGTTGAATAATGTTCTCTGAAACAAACGTGAGTAGTGCCGAAGTTTAATTTGATCCTTTCCGTTAATATTTGTTTAATTTCGTTGCTATTTTCCAGATAGAAGCACAATGACAGTATGATAAAATGTCGTCTTGTCGGAACACACGTGAAAAGCAGAGATGTATGATTGAATTTCTCACTTCGAAGGAATTCGCACGTATTCACACCTATAGACGCTTGATGAACTTTTATGGAGAACACACAGCGCATGTCAAAACAAAGCGGCGGCGATGAGCAGTGTTTCAGCGGCGGTGTCAGCGACGTGACGGACAAAACGTTGCGGTAGACCTCGCCCAGCTGGCACACCACGCAATGCCCTCGATCAGCTGCCCTCGATCTAGGCGAATAGACGCATACAAACCACGGAACTATGTACGGCGCTGAACACTGACTGCAATGCTTTAGAAGTAACGTTGAGTAAATTGAGATATCGAAAATTGTGCGGAAGTTGAGTCCCGCGATCACGTACACGTGAACACAACCACCA